GGTGTTGTCCTAGCCAAACACCCAGAAGACCAATCAAAAAACATACTTAAGGCGATATTTTCTGATAAAGAAGAAAGGGACACGTTCTGTAAGGTCAGCTTACCAAATTTAAAAAAACGCACGTTTTTACCTCTCGATGTTGTACCCAAACACCCGTTCGTTCCACAACAATCGATCAAAGTTACAGAGATTCCATTGGACACAACGGAAATTAGAATCAAAAAAATCTTTTTCCAATTTGGAAAGTTCGTCAGGTTCGCAATGGAAACAAAGAACTTATGACAATAAGCCACAATTACATACGATATTGACGCCAATTTCACAGAACTTAAAAAAGGTCATGGTGTCTTCATCCTCAATGACATGGTTCGTTTCCATATGAGTGACTTAACGAGAGATCAGATACTAGGACGATCAAAGTATTCGGCCAAGCTCATGTGTCTCCTACATTACACAATGGGTAAAGATCTATCTGATCTTGGATTAATGACCAACGCGACTGCCTGGATCATCCCCAAGGCTAGATCCAATTACAACAACTTACAACATGCCTTCTTCTACTTTGCATCAGCGGACGACCACGAAGCAGCAATCAGTAACAACAACCTTACGATTAACGGAAAATATGTTGAATGGACAAATAACAATAAAAAATTGTATGCTATCTGTTCTTCTCCCCATCACAAAATTAAAGACTGTCCAAAAAAATGAAGGACGCCTAACGATAGAAATACATAGAACCTATACCAACGATTCCAACCCGCACAATACAATAATTACAAGGCTCCGTCCTGCCCTAAAAAAGGAGCGGTCAATCTGAATGTTACTTTTGCCCAAATTACTGAAGGAAGAAAGGACAAAAAACCTCGACCTCCAACAAAGCCTACATATGGTATTTCCAACAATAAAGATGGATCTTTTGAGTTAAGAGGTCCGAATAATACACCACTATCTTCCTGGAGTGATAACGTCCCACCGAATATGAATATTGTCGATAATACAATTACTCCAATAGAATTATGTGATATAGCCATTGGTACGAAAGCTGGAGGTTCCATGCATGAAAAACCTAATGAAGAGGACAACTTCAAAACATTTATCAAGGACAGCCTCCTACAATTAACTCAGAAACTAGACGATTTTACAATCGCTATGGGTTCAGTTATAAAAAGAATGGATACCATAGAAAACACTCTCAATATCAAGGTCATAGCCCAAGAAGAAAACATGGAAGACTCAGATATGGTGTATGGCTATGACACCCCGGCCATAGATACATCCAACTCGGTTATCAATAAACAATGATGCACCATAGATGCTCTCAAAGAAATTAATGATGCCCAAAACTTACGGCTGAAGCACTTCACAGAAATGGTAAATGGTTTGGTGGATTCATGTAATGCTTTCCGTATGATTCTCGTTCAAAACAACTTATTACCAGCAGAAAAAATAGCAGAAATGATAGCTCTCAACACTAATTACAACATAACTGCTGAAAAGGTCCTAAAAAGCCTTCCTCAATTTTAATCACATACAAATATGATTACTGTCTCTACAGAAATTAAAAACGGTTCAACATCCTCAAATAATAATACTTTCACCCTCCCAATAACTATTCCAAACCTCACCTTCGCTACCCACAATGTTAGATCATTCACAAACATTGCAAAATAACACTTTCTCCTCTCCCTTTACTCCGCCTATAATATAGATATCATTGGCATCCAAGAAACTAATTTTAAATAAACCCATGCAAAGAATTTCAATCCATCTCATTCCTCCTACATATCATTTTTCAGTTCAACACCAAAACAGCGAACGGCCTTCGGAGTTGGACTTATACTAAAAAAAGACACCGCCTATCATGTCTTTAAGCACACTACAAAACTAGATCGATTGATTCACGTGGATTTACAGTTCGCCAATAAACAAAAACTGCGTGTCATTAACTATTACTTACCACTCGCAGACTTGAAAACCAGACAGGAAGTCCAACATATACTCACAAAATGGATCAAAGAAGCTTTATCATTAGAATACCACGTGACTTTATTAGGAGATTTTAATGCAGACATGGACCGACAACACAACCCGACAAACGCACTCAAATACTTCAACACATTGAACAGAATGTCAATGTTCGATGCTTTCACTCTCAAACATGACTACGCTAGAACCAGTTTTCCTTCATATAGTAATAGTCAAAGCACCTCAAGAATTGACTACATATGAACATCAACGGAAATTTCTGTCAACATACTGGACTGCTTTACCATTCCGATAAATTCAGATATATCTGACCACCTGCCAGTCGTGACAAAGTGTGCTAACTTCCTAGACATCAAATTCAACAAAAGAAAAATACAAGCAAAAGTAAGTTTTGACTTCAACAAAATGGACGATCACCAATGGAACAAATTTAGAACCAAATTTGACGTACTCTTAAACGGTTGCTCACTGAAAACCATGAACGTCAATACTTTTTGAACACAAACTTTGCTTAACAAACAATGGGATCAATTCCAAGATTTAATGATTAAAGCTGCTGAAATAACTATTCCCATTCGTAAATCAACAGGACAATTTAAATACCCAAGACCCCCCAGACTATCCAAACTCTATATACAATAAAAAGAACTACACAAATTCAATAAGTTGTTACGCTCAATCAAAAATGGGGCATCCTTCCCGATCTCCTGGTCTCGTTCATATGATGGCTACATCAATATTGCGCACTCACTAAATATCGTCACTGCTCACCCAAATCCAGATTATCCATTCAACTTCATTGACCTTCTGCTTTCTGACACTAAATTACTGATCAACATAATTCATTGTAAAGCTAAACTGTTTGAAAAGGAATATAAACTTCAAGCAGTCCAACAAGTACTCGAACAACGTCTTGAAAACTACGCTTTACAACCTGGTAAAATGTTAGACTTCACCTTAAATTGTTCAAGAAGAACCATAGTACTTGACTGTTGTTTATCAAGGTATTCCAAGGATTTACTAATGGACGAAAGTGCTGTCAAACTTAACGTTAACGAACATTTCCAGAAGACGGCTGATACCACCCATAAAAACAAAGTGATACCGGAGGAATGGAGCTCAATTTATAATCCGATCTCCAATATCGACCTCAATATATATAAGTCTTTAATGTCACCCCCTACGGCAGATGAATGGTACAATATTATAAAATCCTTAGCTGACGGTAAAGCACTAGATCCCTCAAAAATTCACAATGAAATGTTAAAACACCTTGGTCAGCTCACCAGAAAACTTTTTTGGCACATCATTTGTGGCTGCTTAAAAATCTCATCACTATCAAATAGATGGAACCTAGCGTACATATATCCAATCCCCAAATCTAAACCATGGGAATACGATCTGAATAATACTCGGCCTATCACGCTCCTGGAATGCCCAAGGAAAGCTCTAATCAAATTAATCAACAGACGCCTTTCAACAATCTTTGTCCAACATAGTATACTAAAAGGACACAACTTCACAGGTCTACCATTTCGGTCAACTTTCGAACCATACATATTTTCAATAACTTCAAACATGACGTACTTACTAACAAAAAGGAGCTGTAGATCCTTTTGCAAGATATGTCCAAAGCCTACGATCAGGTTAACATTTTTATGTTAGTCAGAGCTCTGGAAAGACTCAAACTACCCAAAGAATTTATATACTTCATTCTCAACATGTCTATCCCTTGGGAAAATCAAGTTTTCACAGCCTTCGATAATACTAATACATATAAAGTATTCTTGGATATAGACCAAGGTGAAATAATTTCTCCTCTTTTATGGTGTATCTATTACGATCCACTCTTATACAAGATACAATCCTCGGACTTAGGATATAACATGTCAGTCAGATGGAAATCAGATGTACAGACTGAATCTTTTAACAACCTCTAATGTAAAACATCAGTCTTGGTATATATGGACGACACACTTTGGATTGCTCGATCAAAGGATGACCTAAGTAATATAATAAACATTGCCAACAGTTTTTACGAACTAAACAGTATACAAGTTAACTGGGCTAAGTCGGACCTTTTGACAAACTTATCAGACACTAGACAGTTATCACCAACGTATATAGTTATGTTCATGTAATAACTTCAATCAAGACAAACAACTCAGTGCAATAAGATGTTTACCGTCAATCAGGCCGTTCAAGATGTGAAATCTGCTATAGCAATACTAGCTAATAAAAAGCTAACGGATAAACAGCTTACTTATACGTATAATGTAGTAATAATCCCACGTGTTGAATATTGTACACAACTTGTGCACCTTTCTGAAAGTGCTTCAGACCGCATAAGTAGACCTTTTAGATCCTTCTTCAAGAAGAAACTTTACCTTCCAAGAGATACCTCATCATGTCTATTCTATTCCAAACTATTCTATGGTATTATTCATTTACATTATAGACACATACAAGCTCTGTGCGATGCAATTCTATACTCTGTAAACGATAGTGGCCTATTAGGCCAAACCACCCACATACGACTCCAACAAATACAATTACAGGAATGGCTACCCTCATCCCCTTTAAGAGCTTGGCTCTTCAACAACCCAAAACACTTCAAAGATTGGATTCCAGACCTATTGTGTAACATGAAAAAACTCGGTATTAATTTAGTTTCACCTGAACACGTCTGCGTGCATATACTAGGTGGTTCTACCTCGATACAGTCCATTATACCAAATAGATACAGGAAACTTACACCTGTTTTAAGAAAAATGTCCATTATGTTTATGGAGCAACTCTTAACAAAGGACTGCAAACATTTGTACAGTATGAACGACCTATGATTCTTTCCATCAGTATCAAACAAAGGTAGAGTCCCAATCTGGTACCTAGTTATAAAGAAAGCACTAAGAGTAGATGAAAATCAACAGTTACCTCCTGACACGTCAATAGCACACGAACACAGTCATAACTTCCCTCATTTGCCCAATAATATAAACACTAATAAATTTTCTTACGTTACCTTGTGGCAACAAACAATCGATAACTTAATATTTGAACAGATTTTAAAAACATCAGGAAGCTTCGCAGATATCATATATTGCACTTATCAAATAACCAACAATGAGATTATACTACAACGTTGCCAGGGCTGTCTGCGTCACAACCCCACATTGTTCAAAAAGAATTTACTGGAATTCAAACGGTACAACTGCATTTTTGCAGTTCCTTTCGGGATTTGTGTGAATGTTCCAATGAATCACGGGAAAAAGCATCACATTTGTTATTAATCGCTACCATTCATAAAGGATATGGCAAGTCACATATATACCCATGCTAACAATTCATCATCTTATAGGCCTCTAATAAACTATCAACGTTTGACCCCTTCTTCTTTAATTTATAATTATGTCTCTAGTTCGCATTTTCATAATTTATTAACACTTTCACAACAATTTGAGTTAGCTAAAGAATTAACGTTTTATACAGATGGATCCCTCATGGGTTTGGATACTCCTACAGTTAGAATAGGACTGGCTTGGCTACAAACGAACCTGAATTTTCCAATGGTTTCCTACTCTTCAGCATTCACCACTACATTCCCGTTTTCATCATCGGCGGAGTTGGGAGCAATTTTCACAGCCATCTTCATGGCACCTAAATATTGTCGTATCAACATTTATACAGACTCACAGGCCGTCATACTACAATATAACAAATTTAAAAATATCTGTTGCTTTTCTCCATCCATCCGACCTCTATTAAAATTTACAAACTACCCACTTTGGTTTAGCCTCTTCGAAGTTATTGACAAACAATGTCTCACTATTATTCTACATAAAATCAAAGTACACTCCGACGATTTTTACAATGAGAAAGTAGATCAATTGGCAAAACAGTGTTACGACTTTCTGCTTTACTGTTCAACCTCACATACTTAAAATAACATTATATCAGCTATAAAAGAATGTGCGTCTCAATTCCCATATAACCATTCATACAAGATATAACACAATCTATAACGTTCAATAATTTCCAAAACCTCGCCGTCATTAACAAATACCACAACCTTAACATACAATGGCTGGCCACTGCCTTTTACTTAAATGACAATATCGCCAATGCCTATACTTCATACGAAGCTTCAGCTTTAAAGAAAAAAAAACTCCAAAGGTTGATTGAATTACTTCCTATAATAGAAGTTCTAAAAATAAAACACCCAAATGTTTTCAACCAAACCTGGCTGTATGTCAGGTGTGAAAGTTACGATGAAATATTCAATCACATTTGGGAATGCCCTACATCATGGACTTTAATGAGAACCATTATCCACGATTCACAACTTTTTCTCTGAGACTTAATCAAAGATGATAACATTTTTGCAGAGATACAATCACTGCCGATATGGGATATTACGATCAGTTATACACCGTACCTTATAGCCCTTATTAAAGGCTTAATACCTCATTCACTATACAAACTCGTCTTAGTAGCTATGAGAACGAAGGACCTCACTTTAGTAATGCTCTCGGCCTTCATGCATTTCATCTTCAAGCAAACCCAGAAGATCTGGACTGATTGATACACTCGTCAAATTAACTTTGAAAAATCAAATAATATTGAATCGAATACCAAAAAGAACAATACATCTGCAACAGGATATGGA